TGTTAAATAAATTTAAATTTCTACTCCAAATCGACTACATTAATTAAGGTTCCATATAATTTAGCAACTGTTATATTTATGTTTAAAATAAAATCAATCTTACGTTCCAATAATAATCATTTCATATGGTCTATTAGCAATTCTCCCTTTAAATCCTCCTCCACAAACGGCATGCCAAAATAGTCATTCCCAATATTCGACTAAACGTTTCTGCAATCGTCTTGATTTAACAGCTTGTTTTCCGTGTCGCCGTAAATCAAATGCCACTTTGTTGAACTGCCAAGACTCGGCGAACTCTCCGTCACCTCTTCTCTTTCTTCGGCCCAGCATGATGGGAAAATTCAATCAAAATATTATTGTTCGTGATACAAATGGGAAGCGTCGACGAAGCCGTCACTCTTGGCTCCCTCACACGCAAACCTCCGACCAGCACCAGTGCTATGCCTTCGGTACCCCTGCCACAGAGCCCCATGTCCTAACCGACGCCCCCTACGACACGCCGACATGCCGTAGACATGCTCGTAGATGAACTGTACTGCGTCGGGTTTTTCATGGCTTGTTTACAATTAATTAGGATTGTTATGTCGCCGTTTGATTCAATCATTTCTTTGTGCTTTGCGTTACTTTTTAACAGCACGGTCATAAATTTGCGGTCTGTTTTGGTAGCGGGCATTATGGGCAGACGGAACCGTCCTGCATTTATAGCACCCGTCACGCCCACACCGATATTCCGCATTCGCATTCGCATCGGTTTCCCATTCGATACACAATCTCAAGTTGAATGCGCCAAAGTTCATATTAATTAGCAATTTGGATTTCCAAAGAAACTTTTACAATCCGACAACTGCTGCTTCTGAATTTTGAGCTTAACTTTTTCGATTGTATTGCTCAGATTGCAGCCATACCATACAAACGGAATCGTTGATGAATGCTCAGCAAGTTGAGTACGAAACTGAAACAAAGCCTGTCACATTCACTGCAATGGGAGACAGTTTTATGCTTTAAGCTTCTTTTATATGTTCCATGAATCATAACGTCGCCGGCTATCATTTATTTTTGCCTGGTCTACTAATAAACACCTTTAAAGCCAATCGCCGGAGTGGCTGTTCGAAGCCACACTTCGAACGTCTCTGAAAAACTTGATTGAATTTATTAAAATCTAATAAAAAACAAATACATTTACCCATTTGTCTGTGAATAATCAATAACACGTGCCATTTGATGAGCTGACTCGTTTTTGCTTTTGTTTTATGTTTAATTCGCTTTGCCCCACCCTCGATTTTGTTGTGTATACCTTTTTACACTATACTAATTATATAATAAAAAATACATTCGCGCGGTTTCTATCAGAGAAATACTTTTGCTCGCTTTCTAAAGCAGCGATTTATTTCTTAGCTCTTTTTCAAATTTGTGGCTCTCAATTTGCAAGAAAATACAAATATTTCGAGGTCAGAGATAATACATTTTATATTTGTGGCACCGTGAATGAAATGCAACGTGCAACGGCTATGCATTTTGGCCTTTCTGTTGAGAATAATGTTAATATAATAGAGATTCATGGAATCATCAGTTCCATTAAGATTTGAATCGGGCTTGGACATATTTCAGTCATGGTATACGGGACGCTGGCCTGTGCGGTTACTGTGGGTTCAGGCCCGACCCGTAAACATGCACATCTATTAGGAAAAATTACTTCCAGAAATTTTGCACGTGCAGCTTTTGTGGTTCTTTCAAAATAGAAAGAAATTCAAATCAGACTTGATAGCTATGCACACATGCAGGTATTTTTGTAGCCCAGTTAAAAGCAAATAAATGCCTAGTGTGCCGTTACAAATTTAACCAAAAATATTCAGGGAAATGAAGGTAAGGAAAAGAGCTGTGGGTTTGCCGTTGCCTTAGTTGCGTGAGCTCAAAACCATTGCGGCCTAGGATTTTAAGCAATGAATCGAAAAGTCTGTAAAAATGTTCCATTGAATATGTGCGTCCGAACAGTAAACATGCAAAAAAGAGACCTATAAATATGCAAATAGTTCTAATGAATTGATTCGAAAGCGATGCCTAATCCCTCTTCTGTTCCACCGGAAGAAGAGTTCGTGTACATTCAAATATATATGTATGTATTTCTGCACTGTGGGAAAAACTTTCGAAAATTTCCATACATACAGGCTCAATTTTCTTTTGTTCCTTAATCGGAACGTATTTTTTCGGCAGTGCATGTATCGTCTGGAAAAATACGAGCCGGCAATTGAATTTCGTTTAGTTGTTTATTTGGCAATCTAAACGCATTGTACTCGATTTTCCCTGTCAAACCCGATCAAATTCCACATTTATGAGCCACACCCACGAGCAGTAACTACGTGCGAAATGCCGCCAACAATGCCACTTCCCATAGCCAGGACACCGCCCACGGGTGTATCAAGTAGAGAGTAGATCCGGACAGGAGGCCAGGGGAATGTATCGAGTAAATTTCAAGTTGATGCACACAGTCCCAGCCCAAGCCGAAAAGTCAAACATACCAAATCGTAACCGCATGCCCCGCCTTAGCATAAATCCCGAATGGCAGTCGCCATACGCACGTGCCAGGCGGCGTAGGAGCAGCAGACCAGACATCATGTTGGGACATCTCCGAGACGGGACAGACCATCACATAAAATGGCATGCCAAACGCACTGCCCGACATGTTCGGCATCCCGAATATTCGTACGTGTGAAGTCATGTGTGTGTGTGCTTTTTTTCTCTTTATTTTTCGGTATTTCCACACGTTGCGACTTGTTTAAGAGATATCGAACAAATGCCCAAGGACACTCTAATTGCAGCTTGTGCGGCAGGCAAGCGGCCTCATAATTGATAGAGTGTTATGCAAAGCAATCAGTGCCCGTTAAGTGGCTGAGCGTTTTTTTTTTTGCAGCCACTCTACTCGTAAATTCTGTTTAATTTACGCATCGATTTGTTGGCCAAGGCCCGCGGGTCACATGGATTGCTGGCCGCGAAAAGTAGGCAACGATATTTTACGGCTTAATTGCCGCTGCCTGACGATGCACCACGCCCACCTCATAACGGCCATTCGTGTATGGATGTAGTGAATATCGCACATCGTCCATTTGAATTGCAAACATGGCTCATACATATAAATGAAATTGAGAGTTTATGGCATAGTCACGGGCTCATTCTGGCTGGGCTGCCATCGTCCCGGCCAGAATTGCTTATTTATATCATATTTATGCGTTATGAGGGTCTCAGGGGCTGTGTGTGTGTGTGTGTGGGTGGGAGTTCGTGATACGAACAAAGACGTATTAGTGGGTTTAAAATAAGAGGGAATGGCTTTTAGGCCGTCGCGTAAATTGAATGCCTCAATTGCTTTCAGTCTGCCAGTCTATGACAGTCTGTGCCAGTCTATGCCAGTAGCGGTGCCATCGAGACAAGTGATAGTAAATTGTGCACAAATGAAACGCACTCAAATTTATTGCGTGGTTGCCCAGAAACGGGTATCCATCTGTATCTTTCTCTCTGTCTGCGTGTTGGTTTTGGCCAGGCCATAAAAATGATGAAGTTCATCGAAACTATTTGACAGCCTTTGACTTTTATGTCGCACAAATAATGCCCACCCACCCTTTGGTGGGAAAAGGTCTTAGTCGGGGCCCCGACACCGACACCGACCGCGACCCCGAACCCGACTCAGACCTAGCCTAGTTATCGTCGACGGCTATAAAAAGGAGAACGTATGGGCGAGCGTGTGTAGCCGATTAGCATCTTGTATTCAGAACTTAACAATATTGTCTAAACACCGAATTTTCGGTATCAACGCAAATTTGCTTGTTTATCAATTTGGCTAAAAATAGACCCGAGTCTACAGCCTCAACTAATATGAAATGCTTTTGCTGGAGTGGAGTTGTTCTGCATTGTTCAGTTGCCATACAAATAGTTTGTCGTGAAAGTTAAAAGTTGGAGTATGACAAAACTGCAAAACAAACTAATCTGCTGGCTGTGAGGAAGGATAATCTGGCTTCAAAATTGTTATTAAATGTTGTGGAATAACTTTTGACAGGCGGTTCAACCACTACATACCGTCCAGACAAGAAAAGTTACGAAACTAAATCATAAACAATAGAGTTATCCGAAACATTTTGGTAGAAAATATCTTACGAGTAACTTACCAAGAGATGAAAACTCCCCAGAGATAAATCAAAATTTTGCCCAATAGAATTGGGAAAAATTGAACCAAAATTAAAACCTAAGCCAGTAAATTTCTGTGTGTAAAATTCAAGAATTTACAAAGCTTTTGGGGAATGATTCTGTTAAAGTTTCCAAAAACTGAGGCAGCTTAAAGTTTAACTCAGATGTGTTAACATAACTTGGGAAATATGTGGTCAAACATTGTGCTACATTGTACCCACATTTACACCATGGAGTGCAGCTGTAAAGGCCACATTAATTACCAGAATTTAGTGTAAATTACGTTAACTTTCTGTGGTAACAGTTATTCATGCACGTCCAACATCCTGCATCCCCCATATGCTGCAGTTTATGAATTAAAAGCCATTTATTTCTGGGGCAGCCACAACTTTTTAGCTGCCCGGGGCTAATTAATTGCATTTTCTGGAATTAAAACTAAATGCGACGCCATGCTAATTAGTCAGGCACTCACACACCCACATACTCGAGCTGGTACTCACCCCGTGCGTGGACATGCACTCAGCAGCTTCGAACGAATGAATGAATGAATGAATGTTCGCCGTTCGCGGGTATCTTTTGTGTGTGTGTCTAGACTCCAGAATCCAGAACGAGGAGCTTATTTGTGCGCTTGATAGACATCTTAATTTCCCGGGATTATGATGCGGAGGGAGTTGCTAGCTGTACGCTTTTTAGCTGCAGCACGCACCCGCGTCCGTCCGACTGGTACTCATTAGTCAGACGCGCGTTGAACCCGCTTTTTTTATAATCCCCATACAATCCCACTTCCCAGTGCCAGAGCCAGAGAGAACAAGAAAAAAGAGACACAGTTGAAGAAAATAGAACAGACTAATTTATTCTAGACTAGAAGAGGTCGGACTATGCATAGATCTGCGAGTATCTATAGCTATATTTGTATATTATGACTATGGGCAACTAATTGACCGAACTTGGAATATTTGTCTAGAAACATAAGCAAGCTGGAGAGGACTTGCTGCTCTTATCACAGTTGTGTGTCTGCTGCCACTTAGAAGAGGGACGTAGCGTGGCGTGGCGTGGCCCGGACTCCAGACTCCGTTAAGCGGCTGCTCAGTAAGCGGCTCCGCGCTCACTCGAGACCTCGCCAGAGCTCGTCCTGGTATGTGGCTTGTGGCTGCCTTTGCGTCTGGCGCGCCAATTGAATGTGGCCCTGAGACTCTTGAGGGCACTGGAGCTCTTGAGCGCTTTCGCCTTTGCCTTTCGCACTTTGCCATTTGCCTCGTGTGCCACACCGCCCACATCTTCGCCCCCCGACTGGGTGAGCTGGTGGCCGCCACGCGTAATGCGCGTCAGTTTGAGGCGGGAGCGAGAGACTCCCACATCGTCTGCCCCCGACTGACTACTCAGCTCGTCAATGGAGCACATGGGTGCTTGCAGCTGCGTCGGTGGCTGTGTCGGTGGCAGCTGCTCCTCTGGCCACTGTATGTCCGCCTCCAGCAGCGAGTGGGCATCGCCCACTGATGACAACTGCGATATTTGCGATTGCAGCGTGCGACGTGGGTGCGAATGCGAATGCGGATGGGACTGCTGTTCAAACAGATCCTGCCTGCTGCGATTCTGGCTTTGACTCTGCGAGCTGTCCAAGGAGACGCGATTCAGGCGCAGAGAGGAGCGCCCCAGATTGCCGGCAGCGGCTGCCCCGTTGCTGCTGCCATTTAACACGGTTGTGGTAGTTGTCGTCGTCGATGTCATAGTGGTGCGAACGCTGTCCTGCAGGGGGGAGAGAGACACTGCAACAGAAATTCCAATGGTAGCTAAATTAATATTCACCGTTGTGTGAAGCCGTAGAGATCCCGTCTGATTGCGCCTCAGCGCGCTGTAGGTGTGCGGCAGTCCCCGCCCGGGGTTCTTGCCCGAGAGTCCAAAGTAACGCGCCAAGGTTACCTGCGGGGAGTCGGAGTCGCGAGAGCCAGTCACTCTGGGAAAGTAATCAAGTGGCACAAGCTGAATCTCACCTTGAAGGCCTCGCGGAACTTGTGGCTCATGATGTTGTACAGCAGCGGGTTGATGCAGGTGGAGAGGAAGTAGAGCACGCCGGATGTATAGTCGAGAACGCTGAACACATCGTTGAACCACTGCGACTCGATGCCCGAGGAGGAACCATAAACCGCCATCAATCGCTGCGCATGAAAGGGAGCCCAGCAGATGAAGAAGGCCACCGCCACAGCCACTGTGTCAAATGAAAAGGACGGAAGCAGAAAACCATACATTATACCGGTCGGCTCCCACAAAGATGCCATCGGCAGAGCTCCCCAGCTTACCCAGCATTCGGATGACGCGCGTCTGGGCGCTTATGCCGCGGTTAACGTCGAAGCATCGTCGTGGTATTGCCTGCAGCAGACGGCTCCTCTTCAGCTTCACCCCGATGAGGACGTACAGCACGCAGATGGCTGTCATGGGACCGCCAAAGAAGAGGAAGCCCGACACAGCGAACACATGGGCGAAGAAGTCGTTTTTCATCTGTCACAAAAGTGTACAAAAATGTAAAATTTATCATGCAAAACGATATGGAAATACGAGTATAATGTTACAGCCTGGCCCGGAGGGCTCTATCCATTCGGAAGCGGAGGCCATCAATTTTATTGCCGCTAATTGAGTCAACCCACATAAAATGGGGATTTAATGTGGGAGCTATATGACATTATTCAATGTGGGCGCTACTTCTTTTAAATAGTTTTAAATATTTGGATCAAGATATAAATTCATATAGTAGGGGAAAAAAAAATAGTTAAATCTTAATAATATTTTTAAATGTTTGTAAACTGATTTTGATTTGTTTAGGTCTTTTGCTCTTTGGTCTTTTTTGGTCATTCTCCTAATTTTCACTTGACTACTTTTCAGCTTCCAAAATTTACATTTTTCCTGCATACATTTATCTTCGTATTATCTGAGTTTTCCGCGCTGCATCTTCTGCATTCATAGTCTTAAATATATATTTTCAAGCAGCTGCACAGTATTTTCCGACCCTTAATTGAGCCACTCAAAGGCTCAAATGTTTTCCTGAAATCCCGACGTATACTTGACACTACATAAAACGATTAAAGAGTTTCCATAGATACTCGCATGCTTGGGCGTATGAAGCCCCATCAATCATACCGTGCACGATGAGCCTACGCCCTGCAACACCACCGAGAACTGGATGGCCTGCGGAAGGGCCAGCAGGAGGGCCGCAATCCAAATGGCAAATATGAACTTTATGGCGCGCGACAGCTTGGACATTGTGTGTTGCCTGTGTGGGAGAATTCAGACCCAATTAAGCGTGGCAGAATGGTGGGCGGTAGTGGGTTAATAGTGCCTCACCTGAACGGATGACAAATGGCAATGTAGCGCTCCACGGTGAAAGCGGTTATGGTGAGGACCGTGGCATTGGCCGCCGTCTCCGAGACAACGCTCTCCAGTATGCAGATGGTATCGCTGAAGGGATAACTGTCAGGATGCCAGAGATTGTACAGATCCTGGGGCATGCCTATGAGAATCGGTAAGCCATAAAATGCAATTAGTTCCAGCCAGTTGTGTGGTACGGGACTGTGACTGTGCAGACCCACCTGAGCACAGCAGGATCATGTCGGATACAGCCAGATTGAACAAATAGAAGTTCGTAGCCGTGTGCATGAAGTTGTTGCGAGAGATCACGATGCAGGTTATGAGATTGCCCAGCACCCCGGCGACAAAGATGAGGGCATAGCCCACACTCAGGGCGGCCAGGAGGGTCATTGGCGGGAGCAGCTCCTGTGGTTCCAGGCCCTGCAGCAGGCTAGTCAGATTGCCCGCCGAAATGTTCAGCTCTTGAGTCAGATTCAAGAGGAACTTCTCGTTTTGAAACATCTGAAAGTCGGCTGCCAGGGGGCTGGATGTGTTCACGGGCAGCATCTTGACTGCCATGGACAAGTGTTTGTTTTTCCTTCCTTTTTTATTGTTTTAAATTCGAATTGATGGATTTTTCCTCTCTGTCCTTTTTACAGCCGTCTGCTTACTTCTTTTCGATTGAAAATTTCTCGCAAAAAATGTTTTCATAATGCCCCACACTGGGGGCTCATCAAATTCGTCTTAGGCCAGTGCCACGGACAACCTGTTGTCAAGGGTGCAGGATTAGCTTGGGAGGGCGTGTGAGTGTCCTTGGCTCCTTGTTTACCTTTCATCCTGTGGGATGGGCAGATGGCAAGATGGGCCAGTCAGGTGTCTCCGAGGAAACCTACCTCTCGCAGGCCAGGTGGTGGCTGTAAATTAATTTGAATTGCTAAGTGGCATTTAGTGAAAATATTTGTGCTCAATTTGAGTATAAACGAGATGAATTTAAGGATGAATGTTTCTCCACGGATCTCAGCATCCCTACGGAGCAAACAAATTAAGCTGCTCTGCTGTCAAGGTCATCCCAGGGGTGGGTCCGGCTAGGTGAACCACACCTAATGGGCGACTAAAGCGACTAAACCATTTACATAGTTATACTCCATTCATGATGAGTTGACGGTGACCGCTGTTGACCGTTTTTGGCGGGTTTTATTATCATTATCATTATCATACGAGTATAGCGCTTGGGTTGCTTCAAAATATGCACAGTTCAAGAATGCTGTCGAATTTGGTTTTATTATTTTGTATATTCAATCAAACTGGTTTTCGTTTTCTGTTTTCTGTTTTTTGATTTCTGTTTTTTGTTTTTTTTTTGTCCGTCTGTCGACTGTGTAGCATCTCACAAAAAATTATGCAGTGCCCCTACCCATAAAGTGTATGTTCAATTCTGTGTTTCTCGATTAGATTTGCATATGGAATATATCACTCCCAAGCGATCTGCACTGCTTGGTACTAATGGGAGACACTTTACGACTACACTGGTCAGATCAACGGATCAACGGATCGACGAATCTGCGAGTCTGCAGAGTAGCTTTCAGCAATTAGCAGATTCCTCGTATGCGATTTTAATTTTTTCTTCATTTTTCCCGCACCGTTGCGTTGTTTTTTGTTTTGTTTTGGTTGTCTGGGCTGGCTATCGTTTGTGCATTTAAAACTCGTTTAATTTAAATTTATCAAACGCTGCCTGCCAAATTTTTACAAATGCATTTATTTTTTATTGCTTTGAACTTTTTGATTTTTTGTCACTTTTTGTTAATTTTTTTTTTTGCTGTCTTGCTAGTGCATTGCTCTCGATCTGCTGCTGTCTCTGTTCCACAGTCTCACTCCGCCTCCTTTTGTATAATTTTTTTTGTATTCTAATGCATTATTGCTAGTCCGATTTTACCATGTGCCAAATTTTGATTAATGCCACGCGCTGTAGGGGTTTATAAACACACACTCGCAATTACATATATATATATTGGCCAACTTTAAGATCATTTGAACGTACACTGATTTTTTTAGGCACAATTATTGGACGGGGAACACGCGCGTACCACTACGCCGCAATTTGTCCGGTTCTTTCCCCTGTCCGGTGCTCTTCCGTAATCGAGACAGCGGCAGCGACAGAAACTGGCCGCAGCATCCGAGAGACTGAATTTGTCCAAAATATTGGCCGGTACGGCCCGTTCGGGCCAAGTTGGATAACAGCGACGCAACAGAGATGCCGCAGTCGCAGTCGCTGCCGCAGCCACTGCTACCGCTGGCGCAGCAGCCAAGAACTACCGGTTGCTTTTTGGCTCTCTGCGACGGCGCTCTCTCCGAGCGTAGGGGGAGTAGGGGGCCTAAATTGGGGAAGGCCACGGACCAGGCCGAGGGCAAGGGTAATAAAAATGCAAATAGTATTGGAGTAGCATGCACTTTATCTTATTTAGTGGCATATTAATTTGGTCGAGGCGGCAAATTGTTTGATTATTATGTTAACAGACTCAAAGGACACTGCAAATGGCGACCTTAGACGCCACGACACCCCAAACCACACCGAAATCGAAACGCAAAGGTGAAATGGCCAGCGACAACGACACCTACGGGGCTAAGAATTAATTTGAGAATCCACTTTGTCGATGCCAGATTACAACCGTCAAAATCGGACGGGCATGTCCGTGGCACTTGTTCGTTTTATGATCAGTCAAAGAGAGATTTTATTAGGCCCCGGGGGCCTTACTTTTATGGCCATGTGCGGGAAAATCTATCAGAGCTTTGCGGCCCATAAAAGTCCTGTTTCGCCCTTCAATGTCAATCCTCCGGCTAGTGGGTATCTATTTTTATGCTACGACCATCTGCAAAAAGAAAAATAGCCAAACAACAACAAACAAATCGAATCCATTGCAGGCATTCAATTTCTCAATTTTTATGCAAATAGCACGAAACAATTTTTTGGCACTTCATCAAAACAAAGACCTAAACAAACAAAATAGAGGCGGGGGTCGGGGTCGGGTGTGGGTGCTGTGCACAGATATCCAACTGCCATCTGAAAAGCCCACAGCTCCCTGATATAGGACTCATGTACCAGAATTCAGAGGCAAGGCAAACATAGAGCACGTGCTGCAAAGGCATTCCCAAGTGGAAACTTTGGCTCCCTATTATTGACGAGAGGAAGTGCTGGAGATGGGGTCCTGCAGGGGGCCAGCGTCTTCACTTGTTTTCAGTTGAACTGAGGAATTTCGTTTGCTTTGCTCTTTACGAACACGCGGCATGACATCAGATTCAAGGCGCCTGTGGAATCGAGTCGAGTCGAGTCGAACTTTCTGTGCCATTTTGAAGTTCTACCATCGCGCAGTCCAGGACCTTGTCATCAGGCGTCGGCGACGGCGGCGGCATCCTCGTCAGCAGTTTGGCTGAGTTCTCTGCAAGTTTCCAATTCATTTAGTTTTATTGCAAGCCGAAAAGGGCAAGCCGAAAGTCATTCGCAGTTCGACCAACCCAATGTAACCCTCTCGCACAGAGAGTAATATTATTTGGTCATGTTATTAGAGCTTAAAAATTGCTCATTAGGAGGGGAAAGCGAGCGATATTGATGGGGGCATTTGAAGGGACCGTTCGGGTACGGTCCGTCCCACGTTGAACGTTTTACAGGCCATCAGATCCGATCCTCCAGCCCCTGGTAGGGCATTGATATTTCGGTGCTTGGAACTTGCTTTCGACTCGACCTCCATTTATTGAACTCTCGCACGCGCTCAACAAGTCACTGAAAAAATTTCAGCTCTCGTGGCTAATTGTAGCCTTCGATTGGCAGGACATCGGTGCGGTGCGTCCCACATGCAGTTCACAACCTTTCGTATAATTGAATTTCCCGAAAAAAGAGGTGTGCGTGTTCGGCCGGGCTTCATTTGGTTAAAAGCTCCGCAATTTACTCCTACGGCATTCCCGGCCAGTCTCAGCGTCACTCGAGATGGCCAATTTCGAACGTTACACATAAACTTCAGCCCACGGGTTGTATGAGTAATGATGTCGAAATATACTTCATTCCTGTGCGTGGTAATGGGACCGCACTAAACGGCCAACTATGTAAAGCGACACGTTCGTTCCGAACCGGTTCAATGCTCGCCCCGAACCGGAGTAGGCCCTCCCTCTGTAACTGAAAGGCCAAGGACACTCGCATTTAGTTTAATTTTACTTAATTAGCAGCAGCTCAAATGACTTGACGCATTCGAAAGCGCTCTAAATTACATTTGCAGGCATCGTTCATCAGCCCAAAGACATCATCAGGAGCTGTGGCTGTCTCATGACAATCGTAAATCGGGGTAATCCCAGACCTAGACCAACTGCTGGGCCATCAAGGCTGTGGTCGACCCTTTTCGATTAGACCCCATCATTTGCTTCTCTGTCGGTGGTCCACATGTGTGTGTGTGTGTGTGTGTGTGTATGTCGGAAAGCATTATGCTAATCAGCAGTTGCCACAATCTGCTGGCCAATTGAATTATCTCGACTCGACAGGCATGGACACGGCAACGTTGCGTATACGCAATGCGGAGAGGTCAGGAATTGAAGCACTATTACTGATGGCGATTACGCTTTCATTATTCACCCTCGAGTTGAAGTTGAGGTGCTCATGAATAACCCAGGAGCTCGACCACCAGATTATGAGCCGAGATTATTTGGGCAACATTAATTTAGCGGCCGTGTAATCGTTTTTATGACAGATCAAAGTGTGTGGAAAATCCGAATCTGTTTGTGAGACGACTTCATTCTGCCGAAACACCATTTATTTGCTCCAAATTACTTTTGAGGGCACTCGTGTAAGCGGGATTTACTCCAGATTTCTTCCTTTTTCAGATCAACGACTATGTGAGGCATTTCCTTAATAGCTTAAGCCTCTTAAGCTTGCTCTAGACCAAAACCCTGCCCGTATTGTGGTCACGCTTCAGAAATTGTGCATGTTTACCGCGAGCAGACAACCATGCCCGAATCACGCTCAAAATTCGTTGGTGGTTGAACCTCTTCAAGTCAACCACAAGACGGCAACAGCTTCTCCGCCCTTTCCCGCATTTCAATTGAATTCCAGGCCCGGGGCAGTCGTGGCAGTCGAGGGAAAATGAAAACAAATCCACAAATCTGCGGACGATGGCCAAGGCCTGAATCGACATTAATATGCGGTTTTTCCTTTTTTCTTCCAATAAATACTCGTAAAGGAGGACGGGGTGCAGGAGCAACCGGCAATGGTTCATGTCCTGCAAAACAAACACATTTCTCTCCGACTTTACGAGCGCTGGGGGCCTGTCGGAGAGTGGAAGCCACAACGGCTTAGATTTCGCGGAGCGTTGATTGCTTCACCTCCACCCCCTCCACCGATTCGCAAAGGTCAAGTCAACGCCAGTTAAACACTTTCCAGGGGCGGCGCCACCAACGATAAATATTAAAAGTAAGTGCGAGTGGTTCGGGCCATTTGCAATTTCAATTAGCAACTCAGAAACTAGCCATTCAGTGTCATTCCATTCAATTGGATCGACTGCCATTTATGGTCGCGCACCGTGAGCAGCCGCCCGGATATTACTCATGCGACAAGTAAGACATAACTTACGGCCAGGCGGGGACGAGTTCATTTTGGTGCGGAGGGACAAAGTAAGGTACATGAATTTATGAATGAAATTAATTCCCGATGTTTGCGTACCTCAGACACACCAGCCGAGAGAGAGCGGGCGACTAGGATAAGGCGTGCTGTTGGTTAACAGAGACCGCGCTGTGGCTAACAGCCAACGCGAAATGCTGCCTCAACTGCCGCAAGGCAACTCAGTCTTCAACGGACTACACTGAACTCCGGACGTGCGCGAGCCTGACGAGCAAGAAGACAAACGGAAAACTGAAAACTCTCGGAAACATTGCAAAAAGTAAAACAAAGATCGCATATTTATGAACAGACAAATTGAAAATATACCGAAAAATAATAAAAAAGTTGCATAAGCTCAAAAGAAAAACAGTGATTTATTCTAAAAAAAAAAAAGAGAAAGTATTCCCACAAATAATAATAAGGAAATTTAATGAATTAATTAAATAATTAAATTATACAACAATAATATCAAAAATATGTATTCAGGAAATTTTAAAATATCTGGAAATATATTGCATAAAATAGAATAATGGCAATCATGTTAAAAATGGCAAATGACTAAACAAATTAAAAATTTTATGTGATTAATTTAAGTTAGTTATATTTAAATAATATACATAATACCAACAGGAAAAATAAAGAAAAACTAAAAATAATTCATTAAACTAATGAAAACTGGAAAAAAAGTGATTAAGAGATTTACAATACAAAATGCAATAAAATCGAATAAAATATATGAATAAACTTATGATTTTATATTATAATCTGTGTTGATTATATCAACAGAAATTACGCAAACGATGATTGATCAATGAATAAATAAATTAACATAATATCGAATTTAAGCGAAAACATGAAATGAACCAAAAAAAGAAACAAATAGTGAATTAATGAATGAATTAAGTTATTGATATTTAACGTAAAACTGAAAAACGAAATCAATTAACATAAATAAAAAGTGTAACCTGTAAATATAAAAAGTGCATTTTTTAGTTCATAATTATCCCATTCAATCCCAAGCGATTGACAACTGATTGATAGGTCTCACTGATTGCCCAGCAAAGTGAAAAACTAATTTTCCATTCAGTGACTCCATTATATCGGAAAGAGACACTTCAGAGAGACTTCAGCACACCTTGTGGGTGCAATCGAAACTCCAACAAAAGAAGAGCCTGAACAAATAAGAATAAAAACACATTGGACTGAAGGTGAGCATCGTCATCCCTGAATACCAGAACTGGCTTAATTGAAATTTACTCAGAACCTGCATTGTCCCAGAATCGAGAGAAACTCGTTTTCAAAATTGCTCAATATTTTCGGAAACCACAAAGTTTAATTAAAAAATGTTGAAGCTGCTCGTTGTCACCTGCTCGTGCTTGTTCTGCGGTTTGGACTCTGGGTGGGGGAAACACGAAAACTAAAATGGAATTGGCACCCCTAATATGGTCCGCGCTTTGGGATTGGTTGGCTGATTGGATTACTATACGTAGCTATGGAGTTGTATAAATCGGTGGCAAATATTTGACTTCGCTCTGCTCTGTAGTGCCGAATCATATCTAAATCAACTTTCACACCTGAGCTGGCAATTCAATTATTTTGCCAATTAGTTAGCGTCAACAAGGGGGAACAGCAGTGACCCCTGCCATTCTTCAAGAAGTCCTGTGCCTGTTCCCATTCACACGCGTAGCATACTTTTTAGTGCACTTTAAATGCTGCAGAGAACCATCCAACGAACGGGAAATATAATTAATTAGACGTATTAAGTAGAAGAATTCAGGCTGAAGCCCATAAGCCAGCCTGGCATTAGCCTCAACATTATGTTCCTTTCCTTCGACTCCTGACTCCTGACCCCAGACCCCGGAATGGGCCTCTTTCTTGGCTGCTTCAGAGGCCCATTCAAAACGTGTCGCTGACATAATGAGTGAAATATTAGCACGGCTCCCGATAGCCATTTCTCAAACATCTTTAAAGCGTCGCATGTGCCGGGCCAGAGAACACTTGTGTGGGTGCAAAAAGTTTCCCATTTGAAAAAGTTTGGCACACATGCAATCAGTTTTCGCTTCAGTCCGAGCACTCAACGCAGTCCGAGCAAATGGAAAAAGTTTGGGACCCACAACCGTATTGATTGCCAACGATCTATATAGACTTAGCCGGAGATGCTTACGAAGTATTAATAGAGCCAAGTGGCCGTAGTCGTCAGGTGTTTTGGGGAGGAGGAAGTCTATGAGCAACATCTGCCCGCCAGCCACCTGTCGCCACATCTCGTAGGGTTATGTCAGCCGGTTCGGTTCGGGCCGGGCCGGGCCGATTCAATTTAAATTCATTCCTGAGTCTAATGACTTTTAATGTTGTTTGCTTCACAGGCGAGTGCACAATTTGGGCCCGTCGCCGCCTGCTTATCAGCCATGTGCCACCGCAGCAGGGGATGCGCAAACAACACAGCCGCCAGACAGCATTAATAACGCATAGACACAAGGCGAGGGATTTCGGGAGTTCCCCTTGGAATTGGAGTTGGAGTTGCCGCACCCACAATTAATTGAGGACTGACTGCTAGCATGTTGCAAGGCGTCGTCGCTGTCGCCATCACCCACGACAGCAACGATGATGGCCTCAATCAATCATTCATGGCTCATGTGTCGCCTGGCGCTAGTCCTGCTCCCAATCAGAGCCCGTCCGCCATGCTGCAGAATGACAAATTCCTAACACATGTCGCCCATCTGCTCAACATAACGACCGAGAATCTTTCGAATCTGCTCAGTTCAGACAAAGGCACCAATGGCAGCAACATGGCGGCCGACTCGCCGGCCGACGATTCCCTGGCCCTGCTCACCGTCCTCACCGTCTGCTACGCCCTTATTTTCGTGGCCGGCGTACTGGGCAACCTCATCACCTGCATTGTGATTTCGCGGAACAACTTCATGCACACAGCCACCAACTTCTATCTATTCAATCTGGCGGTGTCCGACCTGATCCTGCTGGTCTCAGGTGAGCGAGCTGCCCTTCGGCCCACTCTGCGTATACATAACATTCAATTTTTCTGCCAGGAATTCCGCAGGAGCTGTACAATTTGTGGTACCCGGACATGTACCCTTTCACAGACGTCATGTGCATTATGGAGAGCGTGCTCTCGGAGATGGCTGCCAATGCCACAGTCCTCACCATCACCGCATTCACCGTGGAGCGGTACATTGCTATCTGTCATCCGTTTCGGTGAGTTTCGGTTCGGCCCCCACAATGGTAGCCAGACACCAATTACATTCGCCCAATCATTCGTACACTATTCATTAAGTTTAGTTGATTAACAAAGTGGATCAAGTATAAATAGAACAGAACATAAAGAGATTGATACAACGAGATAAGGCCCGCATAAACTGCAGGTATTTACTACCCAGTGAATGCCATGAATACGATGCGATAAGGTTTAATCAAAGTGATAGCCATAATAATTATAATTATTATTTATTGTCAAGCTGACAAGTTGCGAAAGGACAATAAAAGGCCTTACATTAGATGTCATTCCAGTATATTAATATGAACTAATATTGACAGACAGCGATTAGGAATATATTGCAGGTGTGTCCTTGTGCATAGCGTAGTAGGAGAAGTTTCAAGCCTTCTGGTACTGTACATAGAAGCTTCAAATTTTGTATGTTTCAAACCATTCATAAAGTGAGATTCCATTTCATGGAAATAGCGACTAGGTCTGTGCCTGAAATGGCAATTCTGTGAATTTGGTTATTATTTAATATTCATTCGCCCAGTCCAAAAATACATTTGAAGCATTTGCAAGTGTCTTTCGGGGGATATGGCTTTGTCTTCAACTAAAAGTTACTTTGAAAATATACTCACATACTCCTAAATAAATACGAGTAAAAGCCCTTGGGAAGTTCGCGGAAGCAGGCGCAGATGAAACAATTTCCAAGAATTCCCGAATTCACTTTCCAGAAGTTGGTGGTCAAGCAGGATGGAATTGCTTTATTTTCGGGTTCATTCCTTCATAAACATTTACATTTACATTAACATTAAATTCACTTTAATACTGGGCAATAAATGTGACATTCTAATCTGTTAATTCACTCCATCATTTTTAGGCAGCACACCATGTCGAAGCTGTCGCGCGCCATTAAGTTTATATTTGCCATTTGGTTGGCCGCCTTCCTGCTGGCCCTGCCCCAGGCCATGCAGTTCTCGGTGGTCTACCAGAACAGCGGATACTCCTGCACGGTGGGTGCAAATACACACAGACTCAAATTCAGTGAATTTCGTACTCAACTCACTTTACATCCTCGTTTCCACAGATGGAGAACGACTTTTATGCCCACGTGTTTGCCGTGTCCGGCTTCATTTTCTTCTGCGGACCCATGACAGCCATCTGCGTGCTCTACGTCCTCATTGGGGTGAAGCTGAAGCGGAGCCGCCTACTGCAGTCGCTGCCAAGACGCGCCTACGATGCCAACCGCGGCCTCAACGCTCAGGGCCGAGTCATCAGAATGTTGGGTAGGTGAGTTGTGTTGTGTTGAGTTGAGTTGGTGGGCTTGATTGATTAAAAGCAGCACCTACCGTGCCCCAGGCCACCCAGCCGCCAGTGTTCCACCCACTGCCTGTCAAAACATTTCGGCGAAAGTCTTATATTGAAATTTACTGTCAACATATTTGCGTTGGCGACATCAAACAAGAGATTCGTCATACCCCTGCCCAAAGTGCCACACTCTCATTCACAGCACTTTTCATTTAGCACATGGCACATGCCCCGAGGAAGGTGGGTGTCGCGTGGCATGCGAGACCTTTGCGGTGTCGTTAATTTTTCGAATGCATCAAGTGCGTCTTCAAAGCCATTAGGCAGCTATCCGCTGACTGTGCACAATTTGGGGGCAGGTGGCACCTCAAAGTAATCAGCTGGGGACACTTAAAGGGAGTCGTGAGGGTTGTGAAGTGGGGCAATATATCTCTGTAGGACCTAGGCCTGGTCTAATGGATATTACGACAGAAGCTCGTAGTCACATTTTCCAAATCAATCACGGGTAACCGTAACCGTACTCTTTCAGACAGATTTTTATATGAACCCGCACCCGAAAAATCTTTTTTCAGGCCTTTTGTGGTTTATTATATTAAATTTTCTTATATTTTTTTAAGTGCAAAGTCATGGTGGTATTCATCTCGTACTCGTAAAAATGTCCAAAGTTCATAGAAAAATATTTGAGCCCAAAAAAAGATGCTGTGTCTAAATCAAGATTAAAATATATTAAATTCAATCTTTTCGTATTCCATATCTATTCACTTGAAGAGTCAACTATTTGGCTACAAGGGACCCAAGCCAGCCTTTCTTTTATTTATAATGAAGTAAATTTCAGGCAATTTAAAAAATTTTTCGCCAAATTGTGGTGCGCGAAGCTTCGATAGAACAGCGTGCAGAAATTCAACAAGATAAAGGTTTTCTTTTAATTGAATTATGCTAAAATAAATTAATTGAATTACTTGGCCTTGAAACTCGTCCAGAGAAACGACTTTCGGTCACACAATTTGGGTGGCAGACCTTGTGGGAGGGCAGACTCCAAGTAAGCTCCTTTTAGCCCCTCCTTATGGGAATGGGATTGAGGCCACAAGCTCTTCTATGGCTCCGGTAATTACTGTCTTCAGGCAGGAAAAGTTCATGCCCACCTCTGAGTCCATGTGCATAAGCATTTATTGAATGATTACCCAAACAAATGGATTACTTGGGGATACAGATACAAGATACAGGTCGTGCCACTTATTTCTGTAATCTTCCTAGTAGTCACGGCTGCTGTCCACCGACGGGCATCGCATGGTCGACTACTTGGCAGTGAAAAGGTATTTAATATGTTCCTTATCCTTGCCCGTATTTGCAGTAGCTGTAGCCGTCGCCTTTTTCCTCTGCTGGGCTCCCTTCCACGCACAGCGTCTGATGGCCGTGTACGGCCTTTCGCTGATTAACATCGGAATCAGCCGGGATGCCTTTAACGATTACTTCCGCATACTTGATTACACATCCGGAGTGCTCTATTTTCTGTCCACCTGCATTAATCCGCTGCTGTACAACATCATGAGCCACAAGTTTCGGGAGGCATTCAAGGTAAGTGCCACGGCCGCGGTCCCCCCAATTGCCCCTTAAATGTGTCCGGATTTTCCGCCCACCCGCAGATCACGCTGACGCGCCAGTTTGGCCTGGCCAGGAACCATCCACACCAGCAGAGCCAGCACCACCAGCACAACTACAGTGCCCTGCTGAGGCAGAACGGATCGATGCGGCTGCAGCCGGCCAGCTGCAACAACAACGCCCTGGAGCCGTACGGCTCCTATCGAGTGGTGCAGTTCCGATGCCGGGACGCCAGCCACCAGCTGTCGCTGCAGGACAGCATTCGCACCACCACGACGACAACGACGATCAACAGCAGCAGCATGGGCGGAGGCGGCACAGGTAACGGACCGGGCAGACGCATCCGCAAGCAGGATTTCTACGCGCCCGGCAGCGCTGTGCCCCACCGCATGCTGGCGGCTCAGGTCTCGCAACTGTCCTCGCTGGGCGACGCCAACTCCTTGCTGGAGTCCGATGCTGTGGATGTGGGTCGGCACTACGCCTCCGGGCGGGCAAAGCGCGCTCTGTTGGCTACCAAAAGCGGAGCCATGCTCGTAACGCCATCGCCCTCGGAACAGCCAGAGAACAGTCAACCGGCCACACGCCTCAAGCTATCGCGGGTAATAAGCCGTCGCGACGAAGCAGTAGCAGCAGCAACGGCTGCCACAACACCCTACAGCGGCAGCCACAGCCTGCCCGACCCAGAGACCCTGCAGGCGGGCACGCTGCGCGAGTCGCGAAAGTTTCCCTGGCGCAAGCGGCGTCAGAAGCAGGACGATGCGCCCTCCTCCCAGTGAAGTCCGCGGGCAGAGGCCTAGGCCGAGACCGAGGCCTGCCAGATAGCCGTGGCTATGCATAGTTAGGCATTGTTTAGTTAGCACAATAAACTTTCTGATCTGTAGACGAGCCGCTTGTGAAAAACTTTTTCCGGCTGAAAAAAGGGCTCGAATCGTGAGCTCTGGCGATTTGCATGCAAATTTCGTTTTGCCAATTGGCCATAAAAATAAAATCAACAGCGACGATGGAGGAGATGGCGACGCCTGCGGTGGCCATCGCCAATGGCTGCTTTAAGCGGCCCAGACGATTTATGCGGGGGCATAAGCCCAGCTAATGAGACAACAAAGTGACGTGACGAACTTTTTTGCTCCATCCTTGAGTAGTGCAGTCGTAAATTAAGTGTTAAGTGTTGAGCTCCGCCGAGTAAATAACACGAATAAAAAATATAAAAAATAAATAAAAAAGTGTTTCCAACGTTAAAGCAAAAATAATCTCTTTACTTCTTTGCACAATGCGTGCCAAACACAGTCGCCTCATCTGCATCTTGAGTTCATCCTCTTGGGAGGCGAAAGAACAAGCTAGAAAAATATTGTAGACCATACGGACTAGGGTATACCCACTGCCATTTCGTACATCATTCCACTAGGATCTGTTCAAGCAACACTCTTAGATCTGAAAAGAAAAGAGTTGGAAATTTACTCGCTCTCCCGGTACATAAATCTAGACGAAAACAACATACCCGTGAACTAAACGCTGCGTGCTGCATGCTGCGTGTAAAAAACAGCTTCTCACCTTTACACTCGCCACTCGTACGAGCACTTTGTTCCCGCTTTGCCCCTCCATTGTTGCTGGGGATTGGCAGGCATTTTGCCAGCAACTTCTAAAGGCATCCGCTCCGTGCAGCTGCATCTGCCAGCTCAGCCATTTCGGTCTGCACTTGGCCGAGTGGCCGAGACCCATTACTCAAGGGGGCTTTCGGCTCAAGCTCTGTATTGAAATGGATGTGAGTGCAGTGTCAGGGAAGGGCTTATAAACCGGAGTTAGTATTGGCACGGGCTTAAATCAGTTAATAAATCAAGTTAAATCTTGAATGAATGTTGAGAATTATGGCCGAATGCTTTTGCTTTTTGGGCATTATTATACATTTTATCGAAAGGGAATGATTTTTTCAAGTCAGCCAAATATTTTGAATGGATCCAGATAAAAAATGTTCGATTTTCAAAGGTGTGACTTTGTGCGCTGATTTCAAACATTAAATGGAAAACAGCTTAGCCTTAGCTTAGCTGCTTAATAAATTCGCATGCGCTTTGTTGCCAGGCAAGGTGTTTTGTAATGTGCTCCGTATGGGACACAATGGGACCTCCATGCTCGTCCATCATCGTGGAGTGCACTGCTTTTGTAAGGAGCAAAAGGAACTTCCCAAATCGGACAAGAGCGCGGCTCTTTCATCAATAAATTGTGTGGCCTGCCGCCTAGTCAATCATAATCCCACACAATAAAGATATTTATCAGGGCCATAAATTTACTCACGGTCTAGACAAGCAGTTTAACGGCCAACAGCTCGCACAAAGCACTCTGACGAAGACGAAGAGTTCTCTGATTCGCATTTTGTTCGCCCTTCAAGCTGGGCTTTAATATGCTGTCCCGGTCATTACGCACAGACATTTCAGATTACTCTTTAGTTTATGAGCGACAAACTTTCACTTTCCAAAGCGACAGATTCATTTTTTGTTCTGTCAGAGGGAACGACAAATAACCATGACTCAGAGAGGCGGTCTGCCTGCCTGTCTGTCTATGTATAAGCCGGTTATGTCCATGTCCATGTCCAGATTTTAAAGCCAAGCACCAAGCGCCCTCACATGCATGCCGCCCGGTCATTCTGCACAGGTCCTTGCCTGCACCTAACGAGCCAGCAAGGAGCTGGACAAAAGCAGAAATTCCTCGCCCAGCCAGCTTCCATGGAACCCATCATTGTGTTGGCACAAGGGCCCTTCAGATTTCCCTCCACTTGCCCATTGTTATCAATGCCAAACGGCTCAACTTATGCCAAAGGCAAGCAAATTAGACTCTGGCCAAAACGTCTCAACTAGCCTTCCATTTACAATTTACACTGCGGTCGAACAAGAAATCAACAGAAGATCTCTCCAGCTCGATGCGGTTGCTCGAGTCTCCAATTAAAGCTACACAAACAGCACCAAAGGCTTCACATAATGTGAGCCGTATGCACATACATACATATGTACACATACAAATACTCGTATACTATGTACCATGTTTATGTATGGCGTCCCTGGTCCTTGGATAAATATTTCGATGAACCCAATTGATTCTTTTGTTGTCGTTGTCACGAGGTCAACTCTTGCTCTGGCTTTTGCTCTGCTTCTGCGACTGCCAAATAAATATTATTTTCTAATGTGTGGGAGTTCTGGTTTCGGCTTAGTCGGTTTGCGGGGGGTTAAGTGAGGCTCTGCAGGAGTTTCGGCACTCAAGTGCATTCATATTTCCGAATCGGGCATTTTAATTAAATATAAATTGCACGCCAAAGCGAAAAAAAAATGCGGCATCCTTGATGCGGAAAGTGCGCAATACAAATTGTAAATATCGAAGGGCGTAGTGTGCACACAGCCTCTGGGCTGATGGTGCCACAGAACAATACTGCAAATTAAAATGAAAAGTGGGAATCGGATGGAGGGTCGAATGTTTAAATCCGAGCAGCAACCAACAGCTGGCACTGGCAGCCAGCATCTGACAACAAATTAGACGGAGGGGGGAGGCGGTGTGGGTGTCCTGCCCTCCGACCCGGTCACAGTTCAAGAAACGAAAAGTGCTTGCTTTATGGCCTCTGCCTCGATGTACTCGACGCACTTGAGGAAAGGGCTTCCCGAGCCGTTGGACGAGGGCGGCTGAGGGGAAACAAAACAAAAGTCGAAATCCCCGAAAAGCAGACAACTGGAGATTAGCTGCAGCTCGGTCCAGGCCACAAGTCGAGGGCCAAAAATAACTCGGAATATTTTGCTCAATTGCAGCCAACAGCCAGCAGCCAGCAAAACAATAAAGTGTCTTACCCAGGACCTTGGACATGGAGCATTGAGCAAGGACCCAGACTCAGTTCCAGACTCCGACCCAGACTTGAGGTCTGTCTATGTTTTGTTTGCCCTAACGAGTCGGTTCCTTTGCGAATCGCACGAGCAATTCCCCTTAAAGCGCACCAATTAAAGGATTCGCCAGAAATGTTCCTACAACGATAATTTCATCGCATTGCCCTTGTGTGTATTTTTTTTTTGCGCTGCGGAACGTGTCCGCTCTAATTTGTTTGGGATTTAACGCCATCATCATCCTCCTTCCTGTTGCTCGTTCTGATGAAGTTTCAGTTGACGTCAGTGGCGCCAAAACTAGCATTGTATCGAATTCCACAATTGAAATTAAGCCAATTTAAATAGATTCCATTAATTGAGTCGCCACTCGTGCAAGAGAACGACAGCAGTTAGAAATTCTGCTCAACTCGGAAACAAAAGTAAAGTTTATTAATTAGCATTTGCCTGGATATCAGCCAAAGTTTTATTTTTCCCAGATGGCAGGCGAAGAGTCAAGACATTTTCCATCTGTTCAACAAGTCAAGAAGATGCTTTAGGTAAAATTGTTCTTGTAAGCCTATTGAATATTTAATTGCAATGCTTTTCACTCTGTGACATTTTTATTCAGTTTTCCAATTGCATTTGCAATTGAAATTTGGTTTTAATTTAATTGAATGTATTGAATTTTAACTGTCACTATAAATAAAATGATACCTCTAAAAATGCAAATTGCATTTCACTAATTTACAAGTGAGCAATGGAATTTATTCAATTAATTAATCCAATTATTTCTGTTGACCAGCAATCAGCCTGTCAGCTGCATATAATGTGCTTCAGACCTTAGAGGACTACAGAAACAGAAAGCCACTAAAATATAGTCCAGTTTGTAGTTAGTGAACAATTTGGGTTTGTTGGGGCATGCCAATATAATTGTCATGCATCAAGGATTTTTATTCCACCAACCAAATGAAAAAAAAAACTTTTAATTGATTCATGGGATTTGATTACAAAAATTAATTGCTTCACAATATTTTATTGTATGAAAGTTTGTCATGGGATTAGTATAATGTTTTATATCATAATGGAATTAGTCAGCTCGTCCACTACTTGCTTTTAAGTCAAGTGTATCCTTTTTGCCATTAAAAAAAGAAATTATTTATACAAAAAGAGAGCAAATATGAGCAAATATACAAATAGCAGATCGATTAATGGAAAACTTAGAAATGAACTATGAATCATGGCCTTTTTATTCAAGAACGTTGACTCTGAAATAAGAGTTAAGAAACGAAGGGAAAGAGTTTTTCTATAATACCCTACTTCTTCATCACATTCCCTCACTGCTTTAAATCCAATTGATGAATTTCACGAACCTCAGAAAGTAATAAATAATATGAGTAATTCAGTTAAAAAAAAAACTGTAGTTATTTTTGTTACTTGCTGTGGCTTGCAGAATTGCAGACAAAGTTCAACAGATAGAAACAAACGGGCAGAGTACTTTAACACACATGTAAATAAAAAAGTATAGTCTTGGCCTTTTCTCCATTTAATGTCAAGAACAACGTCGCGACCTTTGGAAGGAGCACACATGCAGTAAAACATGCAGTTAAAGGAAATACCACTCTTAAATGTTCTTTGGTACATTTCCTAGAACGAACTCAAGATACTGTACTTAAATACAACGTTAAAAGAGAACTAGAAGTAGGAGAACTAAAAATAAACTTCAAATTAAATACAATTTATTGTACCTAGAAACTTAACCGCTTGCAATATATTTGTTCATTTGAATAGGCCATTACAGCGCTTTTCTTGTGTTATTTTTATGACAAAACCATACATTTGATTAAATTAATTAATTAAATTGATTAAATCATGCTTATAAAGACAACAACGTGTCCAGGGGCTTATCTTTCCCTAGATGAACTCCTCGCAGAACGAGTGTTTTTCTAATGTCCACTATGCAAATTTTGTATACAAGTGCTTCAGATAATTGTATTGAAATCACACGTACATGGGTAATTAATGTTGATTTATACACTCACAGGTAATTAAGGAAGCAGGATTCTCAGAAGCAGAGTAAAAACGACAAGCAGCAACAGCATTCAAGGGAATTCAAGTTTATTCCCCAAACGTCTTTCACTGACACACAACCAGCTTAGTTGCCCTAGGCTTTGGCTTCCACCACAACTTCTGAATATACTTAAAGACGTATCCAAGTGGCATTTAAAAATCAAGTAAAGATAGCCTGAATCGGTATTTATTTTAGTTTGGTTCGCTTACGCTTTCTGCCTGAGAATTTAATAAAAATAATAATAGTACTCCTTTGCATTAAAGTAAATTTTCTAAATAATTTTGAATGCATGGATGCATGGATT